AACAATATAAGAGTTATTTAATGTGTGGTTGTCTATGCAATTTAGATGGCGGGTCAGAATGTTAGCACACTTTGTTAGTTTAAGAGAAGTCAAAAGTTAGCATCTCTTTACCTGTCATTTTTCCTTAATCCGCTCCCTAGAATGATTAACACATCATTGTACACGGTGTTCAATTTAAAAAAAAAAACACCAACTCATTGGTGTGCAATAACAACTATACCAACTCAAAGACAAATAGAGCTTATGGCAATTATTGCTCACACCTACAATACATCTATATTAATCAACTACTATACACTATGCCCATCAGGGGCGTGATTTTAGGGGAAAAGGGGGGGGGGGGGCAAAACCAAAACTTGGTCGGCTTGTTAAGTTGTTGATTACTGGAGGCGCCACAGAACATAGCAATTTAAATAAAACCAGCAAAATCAGAGGGGGGGGGGGGGCGGTAAAATGCCCCACTGCCCTACCCAAATGATGTCCCTGATGCCCTTGTTACCATACAGCAACACCTCGATACTATATGGGAAGATAATAGCAGATAGAAAATATGCTATTATTTTCAGCTATACTGACAATAACCATATTTATATTTCCACAAACAATGATATTTAGTCCTTAACAACCTTTTAATTTATTCTGAATTATAAAATTTAAGTGTAAAAACTTTTTAACTTGTTGATTAACAAGCTAAACATGTAATAAAATGATTTCCCTACAATTGTATGAGTTATTTAAATAGATCAGCACAAATTAAAATGTATTTATAAATTTATTTGTATTATTTATTATAATTCATTTTTTTCTGTGGGGTGGGACGTGTTATAAAATGTTGACATAATTAAACAGGGGGGGTGGTCATTGACAGTTTGACAGTTGTTGACGAGGGGGGAGGGGGTTAAAAAAATGTGTAAAATTGTTGACGTAATTAATGGACAACCCCCTAGGCCTATTTTAAAAAAAGTATTATTCATAGTTATTAGGCCTAGGGTATTGCATAGGCATAGATCTAAGAAGTTATACAATTAATTTATATCAATATGTAATACTTTATTAAGATAAGTTAGGCCAGGGGTGGGCAAACTTTTTGTGGGCAGGGCCAGATTGACAAATGTAAAGCTATTGGCAATAGTCAATACTATTGGGGGGTGGCATGTATATTATGTCCAATTTTTATATGTCCATAAAAATTTCTCTCTATAAAAATGAGTAAATTCGCATTTTAGCATTACATGACAAAAGTCAAGGACTGTTTAAAAAAATAGAAAATTAGAAAGAATGTTGATAAAAATTTTTAAACAATCATAACAGTACATGAAATTCCACAAAATAACTTTAAAAAAAAGTAATTTTAAAAAATATTTTAATGCCTTTGAGGGACGCATAATTGCGGCCCACACAGTTTGCCCACCCCTGCTATAGGCTAAGTAAAAGTTAAGCAGGCAATAGAATCTTTGAATCTAGGTCTCTAGACCTTAACTATCGGCTCTTCTGTGTAGCTAGGGTCGCAAAAATAATATAGAATTTCTATAGATCCACAGCCAGTACAGACAGTACAGGCAATAAAATTGATTTTATTAAATTAAACTAAGAGTAGTAGGCCTAAGTGTCCTAAAACTAAAACTTAAGTAGAAAGCTTAAGAAAAGCTCAATCACAATTTATTCACAATTTATCATTGAAATTAGCTGACTTTACTTCACTGACTTACCTAATTGTTTATATAGTGCCTTGCCTATAAATAGTTTCAAATAGGTTAGTAGTGGCGTAGAATTAGTAGGGCTTTTCTACTTTTCTGAAATTTTAGGCTTCTTTACTTTAAGTTTTAAGAATTATGGCTATGCCTGGTCTAAGCCTAACTAAATTAATTAAATATTTAAAGTAAGGCCCAAATTCTTACTTTATTTAAATTTTATTATTAATATAATCTAATATAATATAAATTTTAAAAAAAAGCGAATGAAAATTTTAAAACAAGTTTTGGCAATTACTTAATTATTTGGTGGTAAAATTGTTTTAAAATAAAATGAAATTATCTTATAAATGCACTCTTACTTGGACAGCGATTCATAGTTTGGCATCGAGATCGATCTCTGAACAGAACGATGAAACCGACCGGCGATCGTTTATTTTTAGCACTGAACTAACAGAATTGGCCTATATTCCCTCTCCAGCCGCAGCTCAACTACTTTAAAATAACCCTCATGTGCACAACTATTTCCCCTTTATAAATCTTAAAAACATTTATTTGCAAATTATATGTATGATCGTGTAGTTCAAACCCAACTTACCTTTATTTCAACGAAATTTCAAGTAATCGTAAATGGGCTATTTCACACAACACAGTTCACCACCTGCCGAAGGAGTAAAAGATGGTCGAAGTGACGTCACAGCATAAAACTGGGAGGCCCTCTGGCTTGGATCAATCACCGCAAAATGAACATAAAAGAAAACGAAATTTACCATTTAGATAGGCATATTCATATTTAGAATGGTGATACAAAGCAACGCATTTTCTCACCGCAGATAATCAATTCAGGTGTAAGATTGCATAAGCAATACAGATCGCAAAAAATATTGTTAAACATCGTTAGTTAGCCTTCAATTCAAGTCTATGTCTATAATTTAAATTAAAGTTGCTTGGCATAAATGTCATAATTATAATTGAACCAGGAAAGATCTCATGCCATAAAAGTCCGACTCGGATCGATGGCATAATTGTGAACGGCATGAAAATTAATTCAGTCATGCCTACTTTCTGCAACCCTAAACTTAAACATTGACCGATTTTCACACCCTAAAAAGGTATTATTTACAACCAATATAACAAAATTTTATATAGACTTTATAAAATTAGGCTTTCCATATTTATAAAGGCATTAAAAGGGTTTAAAAGTTACCAATGGTGTATCTAGACGGCGAAGGGGTGACCGTCTTGGGGGCACTTTAAAAAATGTTTATTACCAAAATTAAATAATAGATGTGATTGTTTTGGGTCTCATTTTTTGGAGTTTGGAGCAGGACAGTGAGAAGGTAAAGTTGGGTTGGGGGGGGGGGCAAAGCCTGCGGATATGGTGCCCTCCACCCCTGTTTCATCGATAAATGATAAAATACACATACATTCCATTGACATACACACATACATAATGTATAAACTTATTTCGCCGTGTAAAGCCTGAATAGCCACATTTCGTGTGGTTTGTTTTGTGTTTTTTATATGGGCATAGAGATCCTATTCATACTTACATACTTCTCAATTGAATCTATTTTCAAATAAATATCTTTATCATTTTGACAAAAATCTCAGAGCCGCTTATGAGCCTAAGTAAGGCTAGTGGCAATCCATTTATAGTGCCAGGCTATATGGGCCGATCTTTTGTGCCCCTTTCCATTATTCATAAATCTGTCTCAAAATTTGAGAAACTCAAAACCTCGTGGGGACCCCCACCCCCAAAACAACAACAACAAACAAACAAACCCTAGATGCGTGACGTAATTAATGGAATGTCCTTTAGACTACTTTAGTGGGTGCTTTACTATTTTGTAATAGTCATAAAGAAGATTGCTGGGCGTACATTTTAGCATTATTACGACACGATAGCAGTAAAAGTGGGTAGGGGTCTTGGGATGCGTGTGGGACAGTAGACCCACGCATCATATTAAATGATGCCGCATATTTACACTCATACTTAAAATATTCATAAATAAATGCACGTGCTTAGGCCGTAATACAACCTTAATACAAGCTTAGATCTTGACAAGTTTTTGAAATAGAACCAAGGCTTAGTTACTTTAAACCTTGTTCTGATATTTAAATAACAAAGTTAAGAGTTACTAAAATACTTCAACAATTTTTAGGAAAAATTATGTTCCCTCCCTCCCCCGTGCAATCAAGTGTCAAACTTTCAATAAATCCAATAATAATTGTAAAATTGTTACAATTGCCATCATCCTTGTCTACACTCTCTAGTGCCTAGAATATTAGGATATTCTATGTGAGCGATAATGGCAATCACAGCTTTCATTCTTTTTGGAGCCACTCGAATTAGCAGCATCTTTTTTTATATTTGTTTGTTTAGGAGCTGGTTGCAAATTCTAAGGCCCTCAAAAGAATTACCTGTAATGTTATGACCATTTGAAAATTATTTTTAATTAGACTTAGGCCTATCAACTTTTTGTAGCCAGTAAAATTGACAGTAAATAATCTATTTCGTATTTTTAATATATATCTTATTTGTTAACATCCATTTATCTTACACCCAACCCCTTAGGCAAAAATTTTAACATCTTTTTTCACCCCCCATTTTGTTGGCGCAATATATGGTATGGACGCCATAAGACTAAAAGACTATCAGATAGAGATGGGCCAACTTAAATTCATGACTTATGCCTTGGCTTAAGGTAGGCCTAGTTATATGACATTTAACTCATTTATATGAATAAATTAGTTAGTCTAATTAAAATTGATAAGTTATCTAGTTTAGACTTACATTAGACCTAAGTCTAAGTAAGTCGTAAATTCCCCCTCTCGCTCTTCCCCCTCTTCTTTCTAACAGCGGTTCTCAACGTGTCAACATGTGGGTCGCAAACCATGGGGGGGGGGGGGGGGGGGGGGGGTTGGGTTGTGAACAGCACTTACTCAGGGGTCGCCTAAGACCATCAGAAAACATATTCATATATTTATGAATTAGCAACGAAAATAATTTTATGGCTGGGAGTCAACACAACGTGAGTGACTGTATTAAAGATTAAAGGGTCGTGGCATTAGTGCCATTAGTCATTAGGAAGGTTGAGACCCACTGCCTTATACGTATGCATTGTGAATTTGAAATAAAACAAAACTTTAATGTGTTATAGTAATGATTATTACAATGTGTATAATGTTAAGATATGTTTCATTTTTTTAACTTTCAAGGTTAAATAAATACAATAAAATTTGTTTACATCATTTTTAATATTTTGTTTTGCTTCCTGAATACACATTTTTAATAATGTAAGATGTCTCCATATTTAGGAGATAAACTTTTTAACCGGTAACCAACAAACAACATGGCTGAATTATGGATAAATAAACTTGTCTCAGCACAGAAAACATGTCTTGTTCAAGACAGTAAGACATATATACGGTTTTATCTCATATATTAAATTAAAAATATTTACAGTATTATTTTTTATTAGTAGTAGTAATTTTATATAGCGCCGTACCCCAGCTTAGGGCTGGGCTCACCACACTGTACATACTTACATACAATTTAACAACATATCTAAATACTAAATACCTTGTCTTAATACTTAATACATAATCATGTTCATGAACTTAAAAATTAGCATACATTAATTAAATAAAACAAAAAAAATGTATATTCACTCTCCATTCCATAACTATTTTCATGTCAAGCGATGGAAGGCACCCAGAAACATCATTTATCTGTCAGAGGGGGGAATCAGTCAGGATAGTAGAGTTTAAAATAAGTTAGATATGTTTTGAGTGCATTTTTGAAATTATTTAACAATAAACAGAAATAGAAGCATCTGCTTCTAAACTAATTAATCATTTTAAGGCCTAATTAGTATTAGAGCCCTGCCCCCTCCTTTTATGATAATTGTACCTTGATGTTTCCCCCTGTTCTAATATGGTCACCATCTTTGTTATCATTTTGTCATGTGTCAAAAACTCATGTGGGTAAATTACGCAATCCACGCCACTTATTTCCCATGTCAGCCATCTTGGTTGGCAGATTGCCATGACCCTCTATATATGTGGCAAGAAGTGTCAATGACCTGCGGTCACCCCCTTTCCTGGCATTATTTTGGCTGGTATTAATTTCGTGGCAAATGTAGCAACTTTATTGTATTTCTCTAGCTCTGAGGCAAGAAGTGTCAACGATCTGTGGTCACACCCTTCTCTCAACTTACACACGGTGCAAATTTAACCTCATTTTAAATATTATAATTAACCACCCAATGAAATATTAATTCACAACATTCCAAAGGTTTATTAATATTAATACAAAAGAAGTTAACTCTAGGAACAATCCAAGAGTAAACAAAAGGAAACTCACTCATACCAGTGCAAATGTTAGGCATGCATTGTTCTTATATATATAAAGATATATTATATTAAGAACAATGAATACCTGACATTTGTACTGGTATGAGTGAGTTTCCATTTATATATAAAGAAAAATAAATATTATATTTTATTTAACTTTTTCTTCTGAAATCTGAGCCAACTTCTAAACACAATGTTGGCAGAATGCACAAAAAACCAGTGTGGGCTGATAATTATGTAGTTTTATATGTTTTTAAAAAAATTAAGAATTAAAAAAAAATCATTGGGTCATTGATTAATTGCTCTGTGGTTCATATCCTGACACTTTCTTTGTAAGAAAAACATTGAAAACAGAAAAGATCTTTTCTTCCATTTAGACCACAAATTTAACAGTCAACGACAGAAGATGGTTGGAAATGAGTTTTTTATAGATCTACTGGAGTTTTTTAAATTGATTTAGTATAGAGAAGCAGCCAAAAGACACAAGTGGCATACCTCAACACACCAGTGGGAACAGCATGACTGCATTTTTGAACTTATTTATGGATTATTTAGCACAAACATTGAGTGTCATACATAAACAATTAGTAATACATTAAAAATTATTGTCATTTAAAAAGTTTAAAAAAAAATAAGTTAGCCATGGCATTTTATATTCTATTACTATTATGTTTTAAAAGCTTATCCAAAATGTTCATCTTATTTGATATCCTCTAGACCAGGTGTTGGCAACCTTTTTGAGACGGAAGAGCCAAAAGTTACAATTTACAAAATTTACCAGTTTTTAAAGAGCCACTAACATTTTTACTTAATTAATTTTATAATTATTAATATTTGCGCATGGAACAGGAGAGCCGCATCTTGACATCAAAAGAGCCGAAGGTTGCTGGCCCCTGCTCTAGACCAGTGTTTCCCAATATTTTCTATACTCAGCACCCGCACTAAATGTTTTATTAAGTGTTGTGCCCCCTACTAACCGTTTTACTAAGTCTCACACCTCTACAATGGTAACAATGCATTTAAAATTTAAAAAAAAATGGTAATCTAATTTTTTAATTGAACTGCAAAGAGAACTGAGGAACTTAGAGAATAAAATTGTGCCTTATTATGCAAAGCAAAATGTTAATGAAGAATATTTTGAAAATATAGAAAGATTTATATCATACTGATAAAAAACTGGGAACAGCCAACTGCTAAGCCAACCAAATTCAATGTAGCACTTCTGGCACATGAGCATAAAAGAGAGGAATTCAGTGCTACCTTAACAGAATAAGTTCCAAGCACTGGAAGACCAAACAGAAGATGACCAAGTAGAACATAAATAGCAAAATATAAAGATGTCTATAACATCCACTTGCCAAGAAGTTTTAGGATCAGTGAAGCAGAAACACAAAGACTGGCCCTCACTTAACACACTGCAAAAAATAAAAGAGAGAAAAGAAATGAAAAGTATAGTTAACAGCAGCTGCACCAGGGCAGAGAAAACAAAAGCCCAAGAGAAATATAAAGAAGCAAACCAAAAGGTAAAAAAAACAGCATAAAAAAATATAAAAATCCTACATATATGGCCCAGCATCAACAGCAGAAACAGCCAGGAAGGGCAACTTGAAAGAGCTCTACAACATAACAAGAAAGCTGTCATGGAGATACAAAAGGCCGGAGAGACCTGTCAAAGATAGAGAAGGTAGATCAATAACAGAAAGGAAAGAGCAACAAAAAGATGGGTGGAATACTTTAAGGAACTATTAAACACACCCCCACACACAGACGCACCAGACTTACAACCAGCAAATGAAGACTTACAAATATAAGAAAGTGCACAGATAAGGAAGAAATAGCTCGCACCCTCAAGCAGCTCAAAATAGGGAAAGCACCCGGAGATGATGAGAGCTGATATAGCTACAATAGTCAACAGGCTGCACCCTCTGTTTTAAAAGACATGGGAAGAAGAGAGAGTTCCAAAAGATTGGAAAGAAGGATACCTCATCAAGATACCAAAGAAAGGGGATCTCAGCAATTGTGCAAATTACAGAGGAATCACACTGCCGTCTGTACCAGGAAAGGTCTTTAACAGAATTATTTTGAACAGAATGAGAGACCAGGTCGACATGCAGCTACGAGATCAACAGGCTGGCTTCCGCCAAAACCGATCATGCACAGATCAAATTGCAACACTAAGAATCATTGTAGAACTGTCCATCAAATATTACTCCCCCATAGATAAATTTTATAGACTACGAAAAGGCCTTTGATAGCCTGGACCGACAAACCTTGTGGCAACTTCTTCGGCACATTTTCGAGTACCAGGGAAACTAGTCAGGATCATTCAGAGCTCTTATGAAGAAATGATATGCAGGGTGGTCCATGAAGGTAAACTCACAGATTCCTTTACAGTCAAAACAGGAGTCAGACAAGGATGCCTCTTGTCCCCATTTCTATTCATCCTTGCCATTGACTGGATAATGAAAAAATCCACAGACAAAAAGAGGAATGGGATACAGTGGACACTCTGGGGACAACTGAATGATTTAGACTTTGCAGATGACATTACACTTCTGTCTCATAACCAACAACAAATGCAGGAAAAGACAAAAGACGCAGCCACCATTACAGCACAGCTCGGATTCAATATAAATAAAAGCAAGACAAAAATCATGAAAGTAAACTCATCCAACCAAGAGCATATTTGTCTGGCAGGAAAAGCACTGGAAGAAGTGGAGTCTTTCAATTACATAGGCAGCACCCTAGACACAAATGGCGAATCCGATGCGGACATAAGAGCCAGAATTGGAAAAGCTAGATCAGCATTTGTGCTATTAAAGAAAATATGGGAGTCGAAGGAGCTGAAACTGCAAACCAAAGTCAGAATCTTTAATACAAATGTCAAAACAGTCCTACTATATGGTGCAGAAACTTGGAAAACAACAGTGAGCCTTGCGCAGAAAGTGCAAACACATCCCTTAGAAAGATCCTGAAAATCAAATGGCCAAATACTATCACCAACAAAGATCTACTAGAAAGGACATACCAGGTGCCCATTGATGAAGATATCATAAAGAAAAGATGGAGGTGGATAGGGCACACGCTCCGAAAACCCCCAGATAGCACCACCAAACAATGCCTATCATGGAACCCACAGGGAAAAAGAAAGAGAGAAAGGCCTAAAATACATGGAGACGCAAGCTAGACGCAGACACACAAAATATGGGATACACCTGGAAGCATTTGGAAAGGAAAGGATGAGTTGAAAATTCTTGTAGACGGCCTATGCCCCAGACGGGGTAGAAAGGCATAAGTAAGTAAATATATCATAACTTAAAATCTAATGTCTCCTCAGTTCTTATAATAATATTTCCTCAGATCCTCTTAAATGTCACCTTGTACCCCATTTGGGCGCTATACCAGGTTGGAAAACCTCGTTATTGACTATAAAATATATACTGATTGTGAAGAACACTAGTTAACCAGACCTCTTAAAATATTGGGCTCAATTTTTACAGTATAAGTAGTGTAACTGGAATGAAGATAAATGGAGATCCATTTTTTAATGGAGATCATGGCTATAAAAATACAAGACTAGTGGAGTAACACACTTTGATTTTATAATTAAATAGTTTATTTAAATAGTTTATTTATTCCATTTCATTTATCTTTACTTTAGACAAACGTAAAATTCACTTTACATTCTCTGATGGGACAGAACTTGTGGAAGAGTATGACATAAAATCTGATGAACTTCTAGGTGTGTATTTTCATATGAAGAATCTTTAAGAATTCTTTTATAAGTCATAACGGTCACCCTAAATTTCTTTTCTGTAATATGTGACTTAGTTTTTGTTGTTCACTTTTAAACAAAAATATTTAAAGTTATGAAATTAGTAAATTTAATATCTTCTGCTTATATTTTGTAATAATACTGACATTTAAAAAAGCAAAACAAAAACAAAGTAGGCTAACATACAACAAAATTTAGAATGAGAAAACTGCATAATTCTTTATTTGGAAAAAGTAAACTCATGTCACTACCAAGGAAATTCCAATGCATAATCAACTTGATGCAGTCCCCCCCTCCCCCCTTTTTTCATACACACACACACACACACACATTTTTTTGCTCAACATTTTTTTGACCTAAAGTTTGATGTGATATTGTTTTCTTTCAATGCTTAATTATTATCATTTTAAAAGAATATTTTAACTTACAGTGAGAAAATGGAAAAAGAAAAGCACACTGGGAGGTGTAGGGAAATGGGAAATTGAAGTTGGAGAGCAGCCATCTCAATTTAATCTTGAGATTGATGGTTTGGCAGAAAGCACAGCTAATGTAGGTGGAGCTAGAGATAAACATATGATTAGAAATAAAATGTTCTGACTTTTGTTAAAAAGGTTACATTTTCATGTTGTACATTACTCATTCATGTATTTTGAAATGACCTGACAATTTTTCAAAATTAGAAGAATAATTGTATTCCCAATAGTGAGAAGGCAAGATGTTCTTATTGCTTTAAATTACATTTTTATGATGTTTATTACTCATCCGTGTATTTTTAAATGAACGGCCAATTTAATAGTGAAGAAAAATTATTATTTTCAAAATAGTGAGATAACAAAAGCTTCTTACTTATTGCTTAAAATTACATGTAAATCTTTACTAAGTAGCATGCTGATCTTTCCTTTAAAGCTGGTTTTATCTATTTCTTGTCACACTTTCCAGCCATGTCATATTTGTCATTCTAAATTTTTTTTGTATCATGCACAGTCATATTTAATTCTAATGGTGAAAACATTATTTGGTTCATTTTTCAGCCAGTGTTTGTACGTAAAGATACAAAAACTAACTTCCAGTGGAGAATTCGGAACCTCCCTTATCCCTTGGACAATTACAAAGTTACAGCAAAACCAGACCAGGGCAAAGTTGTTATATCAACTGTAAATAAAAAGTAAATTTGCTGTTTGTGTCATTATTATTAGCTAATTTTAGATAAAGGTAAAAAAGAAAAATGCAAATTCGTTTTGTTTTAGAGATTAATTACCGCTGGTCAATCTTAGTGTTTCCCGACCTTCTCTGTACTATGCTATGCACCACCTATGAATTATTTGAACAGTCTCACTCCCTCTACAAATTGTTTCACTTAATCTTTCAACGCCTCAAACGTAATAATGCATTTTAAAATAATTGACTTCTTATTTATTCACTGAATTGCAAATATACTTAGTTAATGGAAAGAAATAAGAAAATTTTAAGAACAACTAAACATTTATTTCATAACTTAAAAGCTAATACCTCCTCTGTACTTATAATCTAATTTCCTTGCACCCCCTGAAATGCCACCTCGCACCCTCTGGGTACGAACATACCTTAATTATTTAAAGATATTTTATACCAATAAATAATTTTTTTTCATACATCACCATAAGCAATGAGAATAATAAAGAGGGTGCATTGAATTATTCACGTTTCCTCATTTGTTGTAAGATGATAAAAAATTAATTATTGATATAAACATAATGGAAATTATGTTTTATGTTTATAGCAATATCAATAATTAATTTTTTTGATAAACTACATTTTTATCATTTCTTAGGTATTATAAAACATTTGAAATTCCTGATCTTGCAAGATGTGGACTTCCATTAGAGCAAGAGCCACTTGAAATAGCTCATGCAAACAGCACTCTATTAATTTCTGTGAGTAATTTATATACAGCCTTATATTTTAAGTTACAATTGTAGCATAATTAAATGTGTTTCCCATTTCAATGGTTTTTATATCTTATATTTGATGATGTTTTTTCTTGCATTAATCTATAGCTTACTTAAGTCTCACGGACTGGATAGGTTAAAAAGTCTGATCAGTTCAATAAACACCTATGCAAAATTGATTGAGAGCTAAGACCAGTCTTGTCACACTTTAACAAAATTGACCACCAAAGTGCCTTTAATGTGTCTCACATTAGAGAATCATCTTACCCTCAGTAAAGGCTGTTTCACTAAATTCTCTGAACCAAATGTGGAGCTATTATTTTTTTTTATGCCATCCTATTTCTCCCAGTTTCTATAAATACCCATCCAACAAGAACTTATGCTAGCAATGATCCACACCTCAATTTTATTTTCTAAGCAATATAATAAAATGAAAAAAATCATTTAATTATAACATTATGGTTATCCGTATTAAGTTATAATGAGGTGTGCTTTGGAAATGAACTTAATTTTCATATTGCTTCCCTCTGAGACTATTATGGTTTGCATTTTTTTTCCTTCTAAATATAGTACAAAAAGCCTCCAGCCTTTTTGGCAGTGGAAAAAAAGCTTCAGCAAGAATTTAAGAAACTGAAAGCTTCCAAAGATGGTGATGTAGATTGTGCTCCAAGCTAATGATTTTGTAAAATATTTTCACTTTTGCAAGTGTGAATGTTGCAGATTTTTGGGTCATGCGTGTAAGCTTAGATTACTAGTAAAAATAATTCATTTTTAGTATAACTGATTCATCATTATTTTCATGCTTTTTTAAAATACTGTTATTGCATTTTCTTTAATAATTTAAATTTATAATCCACAATGTTCTTTCTTCAAGCTTTGAATTGACTTTAGATAAATAATTGTTATTTCTATATGTTGGCAAAATAAATCTATGTTTTTTTGCATTCAAATTTTGTCTTTGTCATTGAATAAGCTCTCTCTGTAATAGTTTGTTTTATAATTACACATGAAATCAGTTAATCAACAATTGTGTTATTACACATTTATTTATTAAAACCAGCTCTCATGACAATGCCACAAGATAAGGTCTTAAGTCTATTTGTACATGATCTACCCCTGCATGTCAAAAGAACCATACAATGAATTTTGCAGGGATTCGACTGTGAAAAATAAACATCATAAAATGCACAAAGGGATGTCTCACTGAGCCCATAATCAAATTGCAACTAAAATTATCTTAGAAATGAATGAGAACATGATCATATGAAGTAGACTGACACAAATTAGAAAGTAGAGTCATGAGTATTAATTATTCTCGCTAACATGAACAACTGTAGCCATCTATTTATATAATATTAGTGTTTAGGAACACACTAGCATTGCACTGGGTAATTCTTTAAAGGGTGCAGATATCTTACCCGGCTGGCCAAGCCATTTGCCTGAGATAATGAAGCTGCCATAAGCTATCGTCACCCATGCTCAGAAATATGAGGCTTCTAAATTATTGTGCATCTTTCTCTGTATTTGCTAATATCTTTAATATAGCATTTAGTGTGATGAAGAGTAATTTAAAAATTCTTTCAGACTTGAGCAAAAAATAATTATAAAATGGCTTTACTGTAAGTTGTGAATTTTTTTTTTTTTTTTTAGTGAATGAGAGCAAAGCTTTTGATAATTGAAAATTGCTAACAGCAAAAATTTATTTAGAAATGCTGACCAAGAAAATACTAAGTCATTTCCAAAAAATAAAAGAACATCAAATGAAGAAACATGTGAGGATAACGTGTTTTTAACAGAATGAAGGTAATTTAACATTTAAAAAAAAATGAAAATCAATCATCTGAGATGATCGCAAAGTAATATACACATTATAACACATGCCATAAGTTGATATGGCTGTAAAAAAAACTAAAAAATCCTTTGTCATTAGTTATTAGCTGTTTGTGTAATTTTGGATGCCTGATAAAAATCTTTCTGCCTGTTTCCAATAAGGTAGATTCAGCTTTGGATAAATAATGTGTTTGGTGGAGAAGATAAAAAAATCAAAACAAACAAATATGCTAGCTGAAATGCCTGAAAAGCAGACCAAAAAAAAAAAAAAAAAAAAAAAAAAAAAAAAAAAAAAAAAAAAAAAAAAAAAAAAATCTTTCTGCCTGTTTCCAATAAGGTAGATTAAGCTTTGGATAAATAAGGGGTTTGGTGGAGAAGATAAAAAAAACAAAACAAACAAATATGCTAGCTGAAATGCCTGAAAAGCAGACCAAAAAAAAAAAAAGAAAAAAAAAAAAGGCAAATAAAAGAAAACCAGACTATTCCTAGCTTCACCACAATTTACTATTTACAACATCCAAATACCACCTGCTAAAAAACTTATTAGCTATCTGAAATACTCTTAGAGCCTCATTATTTACAAATCAGTCCTAAAAGTTATATATAGAACATGATGGTCATAACTCAAAACATGATCCAAAACAACTTATATAAATATTTTTCAAATTAATTTTGTTTAAAAAATCAAATTTTATGATCATACATGTTAAATGAGCCTAAAATTTTCAAAAGTATTCCATGTGAGTAACAGTCTCATGAATCTAATTTCACAAAAAATGTATGATTAATTATTTTCATTAAGTCTCCAAACTTATTTGTGCTTACAAAATACATTTTATAAGCATTTTAAGAAGGGGTTGAATTTAAAAACAATCTTTACAAAAGACATGCCTCCATTGCAATAATTCTAACTAAGAAAAACAGCAGCATAAAATGTAACATATACATGGTAAAAAATAACTTAAAATGAATTGAAGTCACTTGTCAAAGTAAAAATTGTATTAAGTTAGATGCATTTTTATCTAGATTGTATCGAGTAGACATACCAAACAAATCTTGACAGTTTTTAAAATCCAATTCTTTCCTAATTATACAGATACAAAATAAAATAGAAAATATACAAAATACCTTTTTTTAAGAAGAACCTCCTTTGCACAAATTATTAGTTATTTTAGAACAAAAATTGATACTTCATGACCAGGCTCTTAATTGATTAGATATCATATTTACAATATCTCACAGTGTAAAGACATTTTTGGGGTAAAAACTTACTCATTCTTTACAATACTGGAGGGGAAAAAAGTCAAATCTAGCCATCAAATTAAATATTCTTCTCAAATTATATACTTCAAAATTACTGGTAATGTGTAGCATCCAATGAATGACTAATAGCGATAGTCATTCTCATAAAGTGTTGTTTAAATCCTAAGATATTATCATATAGCTAAATTTATTTCAAATCTGTTCATAAATGATTTTCTATAGGCCTACTACATGCTGAAAGTATTGCACAGTCTAAATTCAAAAAGACCTTCCATTTGCCAAAAATTATCAGGAACACAATTGCATATGTAACTAGCATAACAGTTGTAACTTATAAGGAAAAAAAAGAATTTAAAATCTAAAATATTTTAAAAAGTATATCTTTAAATTATTTATCAATTCAAAACCACTGCAAATTCACTATTCCGATTTCCACTAATGTAGAACTGAGAGAAATAAACCAAAATCAGGTTAAGAAATTAGATAATTGCATCATGACATTCTGATTTCAAAAGGTACCATTCATTAGTCTTTAAGTTCCTGTAATGTGTAGAGGAAAAATAAATTAAAAAACTGGAGGTCTCAGCCAACATCAAATATCTAATGTAGAATTCTTTAAATATTAATAATAGTTGACTCTAAGGTTCATTTATTAATAAGAATTTTATTCTTATGGAAAGGGGTTTATAAATAGGGTTAAAAAAAGGTATGAACATTTCTATGTATTAGCCTACAACCAGTTCCTTGAAGCTAGTAATAATTGAAATAACTACCCTTGCCCACATCTCATAAAAGCATAAAAACAAACAAAAACATCGTTTTAACGAATACAGTTTGAAGATTCCATAGTCAGAGAAACAAGAAAAAAAAAAATTAAATACCTTTAAATCACAACTTAATATGATAAAATGGTTCCTTTGATATGAAAATAAATTAATGATTAAAACTGAATGTTACAAGAAGGAAATCAAAGTTGATTTTGAGAATAATTTACATTCCACAATCTGCAGCAGTAAATGACTGCACACTAAAGGTAGTTGCACATTAACAATTTAAGTTCAATCCAGCTTACCAACGTCATAATGAAAGCTGATTTTTTTCTACAAAATGTTTTAATGTAAAACTTAAAAAGATGAATTCTGCTATCTAATAGAGTATATTTGTAACAAGGGCACATTAGTATTGAGGCTAGTTTCATGGAAAATTAAGGTAAACATAAACAGTATGCATTTCCACGCTCTTTAAACAATTTAAAATTAAAATAAAGAAATGATAAAAAAACAACAAGTAAATGTTTTCTCTTCGTTCATAATTTTAAGATTCATCCCTCATGCAAAATAAGTCCTGATAAGAATGTTAAAAATTTGCTTTAGAAAAAAATCGGGAATTCATTGAGATAGAAAAAACTTTTTAAAACAAAAAAAAAAAAACACCACAGAAATTATTAATGTAGTTAAAACTTTCAGCTCATTTTTTATTCAAACAAAAATAAACTCTATAAAAAAATAGTCAAAAAGTCTAAATTTTCTAAACCTTGATTATAAAATAGATAATTTATTTAAGAAAGATTTTTTTTCAGGCTATGTTATTAAGTTGCTCATGCAATCTCAATTAAATTGTTAAAAACATTAATAACATAATCATTTGATTAAGCTAGAATACTGTGAATATGAAACTTGTTTCTCTTACTTTGAAAGTTAGCAAATTACAAGCACCTTATGATATTTTAAACAGTTTTACATTTCATTTTTTCCAGAAATATTAATCCACCTTTTCTATTCTAAAGATAATTGACTGAAAGTAAGATGTGTGTGTGTGACAAGGTGACAGAATGCAAAATTTAAATGTTGCTTCTACTCAATTTCTAAAATTCTATTAACTGGAATCATAAAGATAAATTAAATTAACAGCAGCTCTATTTAACTACTATCCAAGACATGCAAAAAACAGAGTGCAGAAGCAAAATCTTCACAATGGGCCCATTAACCTGATGCTCCCCACAACATAAGGCAGGCCCAGATGCCGATCAACACACATGGTGAGAAAACACAGGCATAACAAAAGGCAGGGAGTTTCCAGCCCATTTTACCAGCCAGATAGAATGAATATAATTGACAAAGTCATCCCATAAACTATGACAGTCTCCATCACTAGTTTGCTTTTTGGTTGGCATAATGTTACCTTTTAGAAACACTCTCATTAATGATGTTTAGAATTTAAGATGATAACCAGTCCACACCTTCAACAGAACCCGAATGAATGATCTGTTAGATAACTACTAGCACATAGTAATTAAAAAAATTATCTGCCCTAAAGCACTATTAAAAAAAAAGGGTCATAAAAACTTTCAGTCCATCTTACAAATGATTAACATAATACTTAGTTTGATAGGATTTAATTGCAAATTACAACCAAATTGCAAATTATGCAGATTGAGGTATTTTATTTTGCTTTGTCGTGAAATATGTACAGGGGTACTCACTTAAAAGAGATTATATTTTACAATGACTTAATGTTTACAAATGTTGCATCAATAAAAATGACTAAAAAAGTAGAGAGTAGCCTGCCTTTGTTAAACTTCAAGTAAGGGGCCATCCATATAATATTTACATGTATTCTTTTTATATTTTAAAGAGACTTTTTTAAATACTTATAATAAATTATCTGAATTGTAAATTTGCCAAGTGATTTCTTCCGAAAACATATTTAAAAGACTTTAACATGAGAATTTAAAATTACATACGACCTCTTCGGAATAAGAACAAAATCCATAGATATTTTTGTTAAATTTTACTTGTTAACATTCTAAAAAGGAACTAAAATGCTGTATTATTAAAAAGAATTATTTAGATGAAGTTGTGATAAAAAGAAAATATACCAATAAATTATTTTCTTTGACAAATACACTTTTAGACTACACCCAGTCTCACATGAAAGGTAAATGAGCTAGCTTTGGCATTTTGCATAATTAAAAAAATAATTACACAATTTTCATGACCACATGAAATTATCTCAAAAGAATGCCAGTTTTAAAATAATTTTACTTTAAAAAATGGATTTATTTTTGAATGGAATATAAAATCAGAAGAAAAAAAAAAACAGCTTTATTCAACATAGCTACATTTTTTTTGTCAAACAAAATGTAGGAAAAATATTTACAATACCTAATATTGGAACAAACGAATGTTGTGAAAAGCTGAAATCAACAACGTGTAGGCATGGGAACTTCTCAAGTATTGTATTGATTGAAATCATCAGTTTTCGATCCTGATTTATTTTAACTATACATGGCACAATCTAAAAATATAGTAACAATGTCAAGATAAAGTCACTAATCTCTTATCTCTAGAGATATGCTGATAACATTACATGTTTGCGTATTTTTTGGTGGTCAATTGGGGGGCACAACTTGGTGTAGCTTCTACCACAGCTGGCATTCAGCTTGCACTCACTATCACAGAAATGCCTGTCAAAAATATTGTCACAGTGTCTGAGAAAATAACAATGGCACAGATTTTCAACTGGAGTGTAAAATTTAATAAAATGGATTAGGCAATTATGTTGTCATTTGTCACAAATAAAGACTAATATTATCTCTCTTGAGTGTTACATAATAGTTTACACTTGAGAAAGTTAATATTAGTTTATAAAAAGGTGCAAATGAAAGAGGTTTTAATATGTTCTAAGTCTAAGTGAATAAATAATGTCCTTAAATTGTTTGCTTTACATATTCCAACAATTGGGAGAGGCCTTACCTAATTGTTAAAGGAGAGTTAACAAATGAATGCAGACACCGATAGATCTTTTTATGGCTATTTTTAATGTGTACATAAGAATTATAATTATTAAAACAAATAGTTTTTTTTATTGTCAGTTTTATTTTTAGACTTACATGTTCCCTGATATCTGTAAGTCAAATAGTCACAGAAATATCTTCCTCATACACACGTTTCCTATTTGATTCATGACTGAAAATTTAACAAAATTATCATAAATGACATTGGAAACAATAAAATGACATCATATTTCCCATACATTCAATAATATTAAAAAAGTAGTACCAGTTAAAAAAAAAAAAAGAAAGATGTCGAGTATGAAATAAGGCACTTTACACATCAAAACTATCATTGAGGCATGCATTTGCTTTACTTTATAGGATTAAAATATATTAATTTACACATAAAATATAAAAGCCTGTAAATTACACACAAAGTATAGTGATTAGATACAGAAATGCAGTGCAGTCACTAAGTCATAACAAATTAACATTAATAACCAAGTGAGAAAGAAAGCAATCCAAACCTTTTGTTAAATTCTGTACTGGCAATGAGTTCTTGAACCCTCCTTGCCTCCATGGCATATTGCTCCAGCATGGAAGGATCAGTGGGAGGGAGTATATTAGGAAGGTACCGGGAAAACAAGGCTGGGTTTAACTTGGAATAGTCTTGCAAACAAGAAAATGACATAAAATATATTTGTTATAATAAAATAATGCTGTAATTGAAATGTAACACTGCCAAGTTTGTTTGCTTATAAAGTTTAAAGAAATACAAATAACACATTAGTCTATTTGTGGTATTTGTGTTCAAAATTGTAAGAGAACAATTAAACTTCATTTTTCAGATTATTAGTCATTAACCTTGTAGTTACCTTCATTCAAAGCATATAGATTCTTCATCACACTAGCCATAGTAGGTGGAGAAATTGCAAATGGTATAGAGCTGACTTCATCCAGCAGTTCTTAGAAAGACAAGTTATTAATAATTGTTTAAGGTTCTAATTTTTTTAGGAATACATTTAGATTAGGGGGAAGTAATAATCGACATAAGAGTTAACATGTATGAATGTCAATAACAAATTATGGTCAACAATGCCCGTCTAATTTGCTGGGTAATGAAATGCTAAGATAAATAATAGTATTACTTCATGATGTGCATTGCCTTTTTTTGTTTGTTACTATAAGCTTCTTTGAAATCTCATGGCCAACAATGTTGAAAGATATGATGTAGAGACAAGGTAGAATCAGTTATCATTATACTTACTTATCAAATCACTTATATGAATATCTACCACTTTGGAACAAAAGAGTTTGCGCAACTCTTCATTTAAATCTGTCTTCAATTTGTTTTCTACGTAGAAACGATTCTAAATATGAAGAGATAAAGTTATTATGTCAATCAATAGAAGTCAACAAATTTTGGATAGGTAATGTCTATTTTACAATTAAGTATGGAATGTTCTTATTTTTTAAAATTTATTTAATGAGCAGAAAATGTTCTTCAGATATAATCTGTAACGGCAAAGTTGAATACTTAATAAATTTTTAGAAAGATAATAATTATAACTGACCAACCGCAAGCTACAATGTAGCTTAGCTAATAGACATACAAGATCGAATTACTTTTTTAAAAGGTAATTTTTTTAAGAATAAGAACAATTGATAGATTTACCATGTAGTTAAATATGGGTACAATTCCCGACAATGCTTGGAGATATTGATGCATAAGGAAAGAAAATGTTTCAATATAAGGAATGGTTTCTCCTTTCTGTGGAAAAAAAAAAAGATAACAGTGCAAAAAAAACAATGGCAAAGATACTCTGTAAACTACTTTGTTTACTTGGTAAATGAAACTATGAAACTAACCAGTTCCCATTGTTATTTCTGTTAAAAACAATAAAAAGTTGAACTCCACAATATCTCTTTACACATAATATGTAAAATCTTCAGCATTATAAAATCTATTATTTCATTGTAGAGAAGAACAAGATCTATGACCAAGTTTCAAATTCAATGTGGATTCATTTTTTAACAGGATAATTTAACAGTTACCTCTGATACCTGTTAAGATTCTATTCCAAGATAATATGAAATAACAAGTATTTGCACCTTCACACTTTCAAAACAAAAAAACTTTTAATAGGAAAAATGTCAAATAATCACAAACCATCCATTTGTGTAAAAAAAATTGGAAAAGTATATTCAAATGTAGTAAATTGTAAATGAAATGTTTTTAAATGAGAGAATGTTTTATTTTGATAAGGTACCACTGCGATCATTTATCAACTTGTACATCCCTGTGTAGTTGTGGGGCCTGTTGTCATTATAGAAAGAAAATAATGTCAGTACATAGTAGGCTGAAGATGCGTTTGGGCTCAAGGATTATTGGTTCGCCAAGAAAACTCCTTTAAAACAAATATTAATACAGTAGATTCCAGATTGGCAGTTTATTTACTTAATATGGAACCAACTGAGTAAAATATATGGTTACTTCACATAACTGGACCAGCAACAGGGTGGTGCTGTTAAACTCTGCTCAATCTTATCTTTCCTTAATTAATCGGTATCCATGGCATATTATGTATAAATTTAAATTGTGAGTAAATTTGTTTACATAAGCATTTTATTTTATGCCAAAGAAAGCCTTCTTGAAAGTATACAGTTAAAAACAAGAGGTAATTTCAAGCATTTCTTTCCTTGTACATTAAAAAGTTGAATCTCTATACATACAAACAAAAAATATAATTTATTTATTAACGAAGTAATTTTTTTATAAAATGTAACTATTAATCTGAAATTATTTCCACATATTTTTGGAGACACAAAATTAATCTCCCACATAATCCTCACCAGTGACAATGGCAGAAAAAAATGAAAGTAGCCCTAAACTTTCTGAGAGCAAGGATACCAACAAGCGCATCAGTGGCAGGGACAAACAAAATAAAACGAAGTGGGCTAAAAATTTACAATATGCATAAATAATGTTTAGGGTTAAGAGCATGAGTTTAAAAAAAAATTAGGCTTTTAAAAAAAAATATGTAATCTAAATATTTTCCACTAAATATCCCTCATGCCCATGAATCCACCACTGCACCTAACACACCTAAACTGTTTGAAATATATAATAGTTTTTTATTATTTTTTCCATTACCGTTATTTATCTAGAAAAGTTAATTTTTCAAGAAGATTAAAGCCAAACGTGATACATTGATACAAAATTATCAAAATTCAAATGCATGAAATACTAGGTAGGATATGTCAAAAAAGATTTTAAAAAGAATACATGCTTCAAAATATGTTTTTAAGGAAAGAAGAATTCATACGTGGTTTTTTAACTCCTGATTCAGATGTTCCATGTGGGAGGAAAGATGATGCAACAAATCGTTGTAAAGTCTCTCAGAAAATTGTTTGCATACACATTTATAGACACAACTGCAGGTAAAAAAAAAAGTTTTCACAAGATTTAAAAATATGCATCAACACCCCCCCCCCCCCCCCAATATGGTAACAAAATGTTATGTTTATTTATTGTTAATTTTTATTTTTTTTTTAATGTCTTATGGCAGAGCTATTCAAAGTGGTAGTCTGTAAGTTCTCAGATGCTGGGCGACAAAAGGTAAATATTTAAGAAGCCTTAGAAGGATAAAAAAAACCCAACAAGATATGTTTGGGCTTGAAAATAAAAGACAACATTTAAGCGGTTATTCAGCTAGTTGCCTTCTTCAACAGTCAATACAATACAATAAATATATTTAAATTAAAAAATAATACTTATGTTTTCAAAGTTCTCAATAAAGTCAGTGTAGCTGAATGTTTAGAACAGGAAGTAAGTGCTCTATGTTATTGTTAGAAACGGAAGTTGAAATTTTCAAAACTATTCTGTGGTGAGTACAATCAAGTAAAAGAAGTCAAGTATTATAAATTTAAATGTAATATTTTAAAAACTTTAAAAAATGAGAAAGGAAATGTAGGGAAATAATGGATAACTAGTATTAGTAAGTATTTGATTGATTTCATAAGGCGATAAGATAGCAAAAATCAGAAATAATTTGCTTTCATTCTTCCCTCTCGCTGGTGTATTGGTGCAAGAAATTACACCTGTTAAGGATACATCTGATGTACTCTTGTGTTCACCTCAGTTGAAAAGAGATGAGACTGGGGAGGGCTTGTTTTGTTCAATATCCCAAAGAAGGCATCAAGCCAAAATGTTCGATTATTCAAGTTATTGTCTTTTTTTTCAAGCCTAAACATATCTTGTTCCATTATTTATTTACTTTACATGGGCATGGTTTAAAAGCAGTCCCTCTTTATTTTAATCAATTTAAAGTATTAACATTGCTCCCCAATGAAATGTGGGTCAATTTCTGATCAGTGTCACAGTGCAAATTTTGAGAAGCACTGCCATTTGGTAATTTTAATATATTAACATGCTACAAAAATAAAAGCCTTACAATAGTCACCCAATTCGCTAACCACTTGGGTAGGTTTTTAATAAAAAGCTTAAAATTAAAATATATTACATTTCAAATTACTCTACTTCTAACACAAAACATGTACTGAAACTGAACTACTTAAGCTATTCATGTCATATAAGTTATAACATACCTGTACATCTGTTCATAAGAAATTGGTATGTAGGCACCAGGCTTTATATTTAAAAGCTGATCTATGGCAGTTTTTAACTTTGGCCAGTATTGCATCTCATAGTCCTCTTCAGTAAGAGTCATCATCACTGAGTAAACAGAAAATATATGGCTTAGGACAAAATGTGAAGCAAGGAAGGATATTTGAAATATTATTAAGTTAAATCGGATCTCTATGCCTATGGACTAGGATCACATTATGGATAAAATTTAAACTGTTAGCATAAATTTATAAATAGTTCATGCTATAAATAAATGTTGGATTTATTTACCCATGCTACCAGGTCGCAACAGAGGGGTGAAGTGAGGTTTGTTGTTAGTATTGTCCTCTGAATCACCTGCTGGATGACTCGATGACATGGATATAGCTGATGTGTCAGAATGCATATTATTACACGATATTCCCATACTATTTTGTGTGCTTGGAAGGTGGCTTCCTTCAACAACTTGTTGCGCCCCCTGATTCTGCAAATTTACACCGTCAATTCCAGGATCAAATGATGCTTCCATTGGTTCATCCATCATTGTTCTTTACGTTATTTTGTAACAACTATACTTTTAATCAAGTGCTGCTGGTTAAAAATGAAACCTTTTTTAAAACATAAAACTTAGTTATTACAATATTACAAAATGGTATTCTGAGAAAACAAGAGACAAAACACTGAAATCCGACTTTGTTATGTCAATTCGTCAACTTCAGGTAATTAGGGGAAACAACTCTTATCAATAAAAAAACTTGCTTCCGGTTGTCTCAAACGTGCAAAATAAAAATAATAGTTTTTGTACAATAAAGTCGTAAACTTGATAATCACAAGAAGAATAGTTTATTTTTTTTTTTTAAACGGAAAAGCAGTTGTTTCTCTTTGTTACAATTTTGGCAAGTAAATTCGATTTTAGGGGTATATATTTCTTCAATAAAATTGGCAATAGTTATAGATTCAATCATATAGTAAAAATATTCGTAGTATCATGTAGTGATGTAATTGTAATGTAGTCAAAGACAAAGTCATAAGTCATAATACTTAGTTTAGACTAACTCACTAACTGTCTAACAACAGTAAAAGTAAAATTGACAAGGACAACAGTGACAATACAAAATAGTATAGTCTAGTCATTTAAGTCATAGATTCTAGATCTAATAATTGTTACAAAATTTAAATTTAAAGGTGCTGGCCTACCTAAAACTAAACGATTTAGAAGTAGGAGGTATGCCTGCAAATTTAAATTTTGTAACAAAACGTAAGAAAACTTACTTTTAACTATGAATGATTTAACAAAATTTACTTTTTTTGCTTGCAGTTGCAGCAATATTTGTGGTCTACTTAGAGTAGGGTGACCAAATGTCCCGTAAAAACGGGATTGTCCTGTTTTTTCACAATTGTACCCGCTGTCCTGAAAAAGTCTTTCGGGACGCCTAAATATCCCGTTTTTTAAACCAAACGCATTTTCAAATCACTAAAACTTCCTTATAATTTGTAATAAAGCTTCAAGTAATATTTTGGCTTGCTGTGTAGTCAGTGCCAGTAGTGATGTGGGCTCGCGTGATGGTTGCACTGTTCCCTCTCCACCACAGTGTCCCTGCCATAGATCTTATATGTAAATGTATAGCGAAAGACACGAGACTTGAAGCCGGGGGTAGGGATGTAACTTCGCAGAAACCAATTTTGATTCAGCTACCGCTACGTGTAATGTGTTAGTCTTGTGTGTATGATCCCTGCCGGCCTGTTCGTGTCAGAGTGAAAGGTGTTTGTTTTGGGTTTTGAACTTCATTCTTTAATTTTATATTATCTTCTCATGTAGACAATAATTATGCTCAAGCGTCAATGTAAGTTTATGGAGGAGTATTTTAAAGAGTGGAACTATATTAAAAGGGGACGCTATGAAAGTGGAGCCGATTGCACAGTTTGCAATAGCGTCTTTAGTATTGGTCATGGTGGACGTTCAGACAAAAAAAAACCACATCAGTGAAACATATGAAAAGACCGAGTGCCCCAAGTAGATTTCTAGGTTAGATTTCATAGTTAAAATTAGTATAATTAAATAAACAGTTTCCGGCCGGAGGCCTCTGATCCCCTCTTTAGCTGGAGGGTATTCCCCCACCCCCCAACCCATGAAAGTGTCCTGTTTTTCCAGTTCATGATTTGGTCACCCTAATTTAGAGACATCTTCTGCCATTGAGGCTGAGGTGTTCTTGAATAAAATTACAGGATCCTCTATTTATCAATATTGAAAAACTAATTTAATTATTTCAAATCAAATTACCTATTAAAATTCATTCTAAAGACCAAATTCTAATAATATAATGGGGCCATCCATAAATTAAAATTACTTCACCTTTTTAGTGTATTGTGCGCCCCCCCCCCCCCCCCCCCAGCAACTTCACAATTTAGCCATCCTCATGAGCATCATGTATAATAAAAGGCTGCAACTATTCACACCCAGGTACCAGAAATGAGAGGTTGGGATTAAAAAACTATTTAAATATTATTGTTGGGTTTGTAAGACAAAATTAGGTATCAAATGAAAGATAATTGAATGGACTATATGTTTGTAAACTTATTTCTTTAATTTAACTAAAATAAACTACCACAAGCCACAAATGACATTCGAATAGCATTGGTCAAATGGGACCCGTGTGCGAATGGCGGCGCTGCGTGTCCGGGACCATTTTGACTAAATGCTATTGGGATGTCATTTGTGGTAGTTTATTTTAGTTCAGCTGAAGAAGTAAGTTTACAAACATATAGTCCATTCAATTATCTTTCATTTGATACCTCATTTCGTCTTACAAACCCAAAAATATTTTAAATAGTTTTTTAATCCCAACCTCTCACTTCTGGTACCCAGGTGCGAATAGCCACTTTGATAATAAAAAATATTGTAAACTCTTTGCCCCCTCCAAGCATGACTTCATTTTTGGATGGCCCCTATTACTAAATAATGATTAATCATTGGAATGTGATTGAATTTTGATAAACCTACCGAGCATGTGTTTTTAAGTTATCCTTGAAGGGGAGAAAACGGTAAATAATTACATATGCTAACATACAATATATGGTTTTAAGTTATATAATTTCATTAACTGTATTTAACTACGCTAAAATATGAGATTATTGAAATAAGCATCCCTTTCTTTACCTGCCACAATGGACCATTTTGAGGTTAAAATTAGGACTTTTTCCTTGCTGATTAGTAGTTAAATGTCAAATTTTCTATCTATTAATTAGACTACTAAAAGTAGGTCTACTGATAATCAGTAGACCATAGGCATAGACTAAAACTAAATTCTGTCTTTAGAAGAATTTCCAATTACAGGTCCTTACAAATACAATATTTATATTTTAAAAAAAGAAAAATATTCATTCATTGAAAATGATTTGTTTCTTATGACATTAGCGATGGTGATACTCACCTTGTTCAGACTTGGTTTGCCCATTGCTTGACTGATTACTGGTAGAAGCAATTTCTTATTACCAGTATATCAATCTGTTATTGTTGTTTTGGTATTTCATTCTTATTATGAAACAGTTATCACAACATAAATTCAAAATATGGGCCGGTTACACTGTTAGTACAAAAAAAATTCGTACATTTAAATGTAAGGAAAATAGGAATTTTAAAACTAAATTTTGATGGGCTATTTCTAGCATTATTACAAATTATTATAATCATAAATATAAAACTTGTATTATATGGCAAGATTCACTTGGGATCTTTTTGTATTTATGCTCTCTTTGCCCATCACACATTTGGCATTCTTTACAAAAAAGCAGTATTAATATACCTTAGTCTATACATAGTACAAAAATTCAAATATTCTCTTGATATTGGCCTATATGCATGCTTCAGGGTAATAAGGGGAGAGACTTCAATAAGGTTAGCAAAATAAACAAAAAGTTTTACCGAACCTGCCGACATGTTTGTTGTTTTGGTGCACTCCTTTTTTCAGGTTTAACCTTACTTTGTTTCACCCATTCCTATGCATACTTCATAGCTACACAATAAATTATTATCAACTTTGAAATTATATAATATTATTTCTTTTGAAAATAATAAAATAATACTGTTTCTTTTACTCTTGCAGATGTCAAATACCTAACCATGTTAAGGTATCTCTCAAACAGATGTCAAACTTTGCTAGGTTCAGTTTCAAGATCATATCACACAACATGGAATGAGTTGCCACGGATTACTTGCCCTAAAAAAATAGAAAAAAAAATAGAAAAACACAAAGAAAAGAAGCTTGCAAAAGTCCTTTTATCACGGCGACAGGCTAGGCACAGTGGTCCACTTATTGTTTCATGTAAAAGAAAAGGATACAACCATTATCAAGGTGACAGTTTCAATGAGTTTGACATACAAAAACTTGTTAGTTGTGGTTGGAAAAATAAGAAGAGAATAGGCGATCATTTCACGTTAATGCCATTTTCAGATAATCCAAGTATTGAAACAGAAGAAATATGCTCATTTCCTGACCTAGGTATAAATGAAAAAGTGAATGCTGGTTTAAAGGAGATTGGCATTCAATCTCCTACCAAAATTCAAAAATCTGCCATACCTGTGTTATTGCAGGGCCAAAGTGCTATTTGTGCAGCAGAAACAGGCTCAGGGAAGACACTGGCTTACATTCTACCAGCTATTGAATGGATACTTCAGTACAAAAGAACTTTAAAGACTTTGGAGTCAGGTGTGGATAGCAAAATTACCAATATAAACTGCCCAAACACAATAGTTTTAACACCCAATCGAGAGTTAACTTTACAAGTTATGGCCATTGCAGAATCCTTAACCAAATATGCTGATTTCACCCCTTTCACTGTAACGGGACATGAAGCAGTTTTAGAGAGAAAAATTCTAAATCCAATGGATATGCTAATAACCACACCTGGTGCCCTTAAAAAACTACTTAAACGAAAGAGTATTCACTGCAACTTTTTACAACATATGGTTATAGATGAATCCGATACTTTGTTTGATGATTCCTTTGCCCCGGACATGCATGAGATATTCAGGATGTCTCGTATTCAGCCAGCTGATGAAACAGATAAGAGACTCCCGTTATTGATAGGTACTCAGATAGTTTTGGTCAGTGCTACAATGCCTGTAGCTTTGGAAAAAACGCTTGGAGAATTTTTACCCTTAGAGTCCATGGTAAAAGTATCAACTCAGGGTCTTCATCATCTCCAGCCTCATGTAAAGCAGACATTTTTACGAATTAATAATCAAAGGAAACCAGAGAAACTTATTGAGTTGGTAAAATTAAACATTGAAAAAAATCACCCAACAATAGTGTTTGCTAACAATAATAAAACATGTTATTTTGTGCATAAACTCCTTGGGGAAAATGGGGTAGAATGTCTACAACTCAGTGGTGAGATGTTACCAAAAGAAAGGCGTGGAGTTTTTGAAAAGTTTAGGGATGGATTTTGTAATGTTCTGGTGGCTACTGATATTGCATCTCGGGGACTGGATACTGTGAATGTACAGCATGTGATAAACTATGATTTTCCCACTTTCATATCAGATTACATTCATCGTGTCGGAAGAGTTGGGCGAGTTGGGGGAACAGATGCTGGTGAGGTCACATCTTTAATCTCAGAAAAATGGAATGTGGAATTGGTATGGAAAATTGAAATTGCAGCTAGAAAAAGAAGGAAGTTGCGTGATGTAAATGCAAATATTAAACAGAAGCTTGATGAAAAGAAAATGAAAATGGATAAATTTGAACTAAACATTATTTAAGATGACTGTTTATAACTAATAAGCAAGGAATATTTTATTTACTTGACTACCATGAATATAAAAAAAAAACTAGTAAAACAAATGATTTGTAGTATCTTTTTTTATTATTGTTATTGTATCATTTTATATATATGCTGTGATTCATAGACAATAAATGGGATGAGGAGTTGGTGCAATGTCACAATAAAAAAAGACATAAATTATTAAAAGCTTAGCACCTGAGATTAAAAAGAGAAATAACCAGGAAAAAAATTTATTCAAATCTAAAAAGAAATTATTTCTTAAATGTTTTAATTATTTTTTTTTCTGAATTATGCTGAGCATATCTTTAAAAAAAATAATTATATAGAACTCTAGTACTTTCGATTTCAGTGGATCTTCCTGCTCTCTTCTAACAAAATTTTGCAAAAAATGTACTTTCCAATAGAGAATACTTTATCAGATGTTATCAAAAGTCTTTCTTTTATGTACGGGTTACTAGGGTAATTATGTACTGGGGTAAAGTGAATTTTTGTTAAAAATCTTTGAGGGATATTTATGAGTTTCTCTTTTGTTTTTGACTAGATTGGGATTGGACGGTACAGTAATTAAAAAAGGATTAATGGGGTGGGCTTCTTGCCTAAACCAACTCTTTTATACTCCACTATTCCATGCTGGGGGATATGAGCTATAGTTCAGTAATCTCTCATTCGTTTATCAGTGTAAACACATAAATAAAAATATAAGAAATAATTGCATAATAAATATTCTTTGGCTATTATCTTTTTTTTCCTTCATATTCATATTTTACTTTTCAATTTCAAGGGACATTTGCTGGATAGAATAGTTAGAGCATTACTTCAACAGTATAATGGACTCCTCAAAAAGCAAAATAAATTACCGTAATAAATAACTCTTGATTGTCTTTGAGACACCTATTTTTTTTTTTTTACATCAGTGTGTTGTCAAATTCTAGCCTGCTGGAAAATTTTCCAGGTACCAAATCAAGTGTAAAACAAATCTAAAAATAAATTTAAACTAAAATTAAACCAATGCCACATTAATCTCCAGCATAAGCCAAATATTCAATAATTCAGAAGTTCTATTTGATGACTTTGATCTAATATCAATATTTCTTTCTGATTCATCTTAAGCATCAAATATAGTTTTAATTACATTTATATATACTAAATTTAATTAGCCTTGGATGGAAATAAAATATTTTTAAAAATTAAAAAAAAATTTGTTGAATTATTTATGCCAAAATTTTAACACACACCCTCATTCCATAAAAATGACAAAATAAAGAGTCATGGTAATTTTACTGAGATTCTTAACAAATGGAAATGTTTTCTGGTTTTTTTTTTTACATGCAAATGCAATGACATTTAAGATTTAACAATATTCTTATGCCCCACTGACCAAAATAAAAAAAACCAATCGCTTGAAATATCACATAATTAGGTTTTACATTAAGTTACACAATTACTTATAAATATAACTTACAGAGGAAAACATTAAATTCATTTATATTAACTTTAAGCCAAGTCCACTTTATGTTGGCCTAAACTACAAGAAGAGTTATAGCAATGAAGAAAGTCAGGTTTAAAAAAAAATCACAACATATTATTGGTCCCTATTTGTTTACCACAAAATAACCCATTGATTAGTTAATGTAGTGGGAGAAAATATATCCTTGAGTTCCAAGTATTTCAGCAGATTGTTTAATACCTTTATGAAAATAATTTTTCATGCTTTTGTATAAAGTTGATGTAAAAGAAGAAGAGACACTTTGAAATGATTTTTAAAATGTAATTTGAGGATGCAAAAGGTTTGGTGGTAAGTAATTATAAGATGTTTAAAATGTTGATATGTTATTTCTCATGGAACTTATCAGTAGCACTGTCTATTATTACCTCTTACATGTATGTCTCATAATTGGTCTATACCGGGTACATGACAAACATTATCTAAGGGCTTTTGAAGCGTATCCTAAAAAGAATTTATAACAAAAATGTTTGTGACATCAAAAGAAAAAAATATATATCATGGTTCTAATTAGTTTTAGAAATAAGACATTTAATTAATTTGCATTATAACTATCAATTAAAAAAAACTTTGATTGATCGCAAGAAATCTTTTAAAGTCTTGTCATACAACTGACAAGTTATATGTATGGATTGCAAAGTATAAAACATAGGAAATTACTGTTACATATTCTCACAACCACATATTAATTTACACACATTTAAATATCCATGTAGACTTTAAACTTAAATGCGAAAGCCTGGTACTTAAAATTCATGTATATATTATATGCTTTAATAAATTAGTTTGTTAATTGAGCTCTGATTTGTTCAAATACTTTCATATTGTAAAAAAATTGAATACCCCCCCCCCAAAGAAAAAAAAATTCATATCTGTATTCTATTGGTGTTTATTAATTGATGTAGAATCAATGAAAAATAAATTAAGACCTCATACTTATTAGTGAAACAATTAATTTGATACATCTGTTCTGATATCTTTTCTAACATAATCTCTCTTTTTACATACGGTACCGGTACAGAAAATTCTGAAGTATAACCTGATATTAACATTAATTATTTAGAACATAAAAATACTAGCAAATCTTTAAATTTAAATACTCACTCAGATCAAAATGTTCCCTAAATTTTTTAACACTTAAACAAAATGCTATAACTTAATGAATATGTGTTAAATTAAGGGTTTTTAAGTGTATGTGACGAAATGAAGCAAAACAAAAAATTGAAAAGAATAATTTTATATTCTGTGTTATGTATATTAATGAAGGAGGAATTGAATGGCTGAATAGTAAAACTTTCAACCTTTTCCTTCTTAAGATTACAAAAATGAAAAATAAAATTGGGAAACACTTTTATTTCCCAAAGTGGCAATAAAATATCACTTAGCAAGAACATCAGATCATCATTTTCAATTATTTTTCAATGTAATGTAATTACAGTATAAACAACTTTCAAATGCATACTGTCTTATTTACATGAAACAATATATACATAAAAACTATTTACACTTGAGATATTCATCTTCAGATGTTACATATTCTTGAAATAATGATTAAATATAAGACTATTACATGGTGATAGGTGAATCCAAACAAATCTCTAGAATTTTCAATTAATGCCTGTGTGCCTTTATTTCTGAGATTTCTTTCTTTTCTTTAATGTTTTAAAAGCATGATGATATGATGAAGTTGTCAATAATTTATTTTCTAACAGCAGTTTTATTTGAGCAGAAATAAAGTGGACTCATAAAGACACAAATTTAAAAGAAATAATTCTAACTTTTTAAATACCGTACTTACTACTGGTAGTTATTTAATAACAATTTAATAATTACTATTTCCCTATATAGCACATAAATTGATTAAGCAAACTGTGCAGATAAAAAGCATTGATTTTGTCATTACATCACTATTGGCCTGAAGAGTGAAAAAAATGTCACGTAAGTAAAAATACATGCTTTAAATTTTGAATTTAAGGTTAAAATACAGGTAATGATTTGCCTAAAGAAATGTGTAGAGACCACAAACAAGAAGCATTGCTTAGAATATATATCTATATCTATCCATCTCTTTGTAACGATTATGAACAAAGCAAAATATTGCAAAAAGCTCAATTGAATGACAAATTTCTTGAGAAGTGCATTGAGTTATTGCATTACTTCATAAAATTTCTGAGTCTTTCATTCATGACCTGGTGCCCAGCATATCAAGTTATTTGGCAAAGCTATGTGGTAGGGGTTTAAAACTTTTATGGGCAGGTTGGTGGACTATATCCAAACAGAATTCCTACCAAATTCAACTTAATCTAGTTTAACAATACCTTATAAAAATGTTTTAAATTTTATCTATAATACTATAATTCAATGTCAATTGGGACATGGAGACTAGGTCAGTACGGTACTGTTTCTCAAAAAGAAAACTTTTTTTTTTAGACGTTAATACAGGCTAAGACAATATCTGAGTGTTTCAGATGGCTCCTGAAGGTTGTAAAATTGAATTTGTTGGGACACATGCAGCCAGTGGGACAGAGTACCACAACCTTAAACTTAAAGTGGAACAAAAGAAATTTAACTAATTATGCTAACAAATTTATTCCACACACGTTTTCATTGGAGACCAATTTGAATTGCATTAGACCTATGAAAAGTGATTAGAATGTTTTTATATAATATTTTGGGGGAAAAGCTAAAACTTTCATTAGTCCTCAAGAAATCCTAAAGCTTAACACAAGTGATATTAGTTTATATTTTCAGCTCCCTATAAACATGGAAGACATTTTGAGAAATATGTATAGAATAGAAGCTGTAAGTAAAGAGTGCACACAAAAAAAGGCAACAGCTAATAAAAATAAAAAGCACAGTAGAATAAATGTATCTTCCCCCAAGGGTTGGGTAGAGAAAGATGTATTAAAATTTAATTATGAAATATAAATTATTGCTATTCAAATAATACCTTTCAAAATAATACTTAATTAATGTGTAGATAATATGATTATGATAAACTGAGCCTTTTTTGTGCTGGTGTAAGACAGTATTACTACTTTAAGAAATGTTTACTGTCTTAATTTTTTAGTAATTATTGTACTAAATATTTATGAGCAGCCTTTATCTATTTGTCTTAGATAAACAGGGCACTTATTATTCTTATTTACCAGAAAATTAATGACAGAACCACTACTGTTTAAAAGAAAAGAAAGAAAATATAAATGCAACATAATTTTCTTGTAAAAATTTTGCAACAGTATAAAAATTACTTTTGCTTGTAAAGTGTATGCTTCTTTTACTTGAAGCAGTTACCCTGAGAACAAAAAAGTCAGTGCAACAGAACACAATACAAATTAAAGCACAATGTTCCTGTAAACGTTTAGTATTAGCACATTATACTTGAGAGTTAAAAGAGCTATCATTCCTATATAAAAATTGCACTGTACAAAAGTAAGTTCGTTTCTACTCTTGATAGCATCAGAGCCAAAAATTAGTAATGGAAAAAAATGCTCTCAAGCTACATATGATAAAAATATTTTTTTTCAAAAGACTTCATCATTTTAATTTTAAAAAAATATTTTTAAAAATTGTTATGGGCACATCTGTAACTTTTTAATGCTAAGATTAAGAATTCAATTAACTTTAAAATCCACAATGCTATAAAGGATTTCAAGGTACATTTTTCTGAGAACTATGCTGTTATCTTAACATAGTTATACCGGTAACATTAACAAATAAAAACTAACAAAATATAAAAAGATTGCACTGTGATCCAGGCTTGCCCACCCCCTCAAGTGTTCAGTAATTGTCATTGTCCATCTTGCTTGAGTTTCTTGATAGTGTTTTTCAGCGCCTGTCTTTTGTTACAAAACCAAACTCTTATCACTTCTCTGTCATAGTTTAATCTTTCAGACAGGTCAGTCATTTCTGTACCTATAGAGTAATAAAGAAAGAAAACATTAAAGCTGAGTAAATTATAGCCACTTCATTTTTGATTGATATTCTAGACTTTCATTATTAGAATAGAAGCAGAGGAAACACTAGCTATGCCAATGACAGTTAAATTGAAATCACAACAGGAAACAACTTAACTGATCAAACTCCAATTAATCTGACTTCAAGTGAATTACCTCAACCCCTGCATAGACTTCACATACAATTATTACAACGGCACTATTTGTATTCTAATCCAAGCATAATCTGAATACATAAACAATTCTAATGATTAAATACCCTTTTACAATGTCCACATAGAATTTAAACAAAATACCCCCCACCCTCTTAATATATAAAAGGAAAAGAGGAAAATCTATCAATTAATTTATGCCAAAATCTTGAAAAATCCCTGGAAAAAAAATTATGAAGTATGAAATAAAAATAAAAGAAATTTAATAAATGTATGTCATCCAAAAGCATTAGTTTCTGCATTAAAAATAATGATAAGTTGTTTGACAAGCTATAAACATTG